AATTATATCTCACCTTTTATTTATATGTTAAAATTTGCAAAGCACTACACATCTTCCATAGAGTTTTCGCAGATGCATCTCCTAATGTATTTTTTCCATGTGATATTTGAATTGGTTTGTGATTGTTTGCACTCTTAAATGAAATATCCTTGGTGCCTTGATTTCGGCAAATTCAGGAGTTGCAACTATGTAACAGACTGCTGGACTCAAATTAAGCAGTTTGACTTCCTGGACTTCTTAATTTGAATAGTATACCATTTGGTCCTTAAGGCCTCACTTTGTCTTTGTTGTCTAGTCTTCTGTAGAGGTAATCCAAGTAGAGCTAAGGAGCTATTGGTGAATTGTAGAACATCTCGTATTACCAAATAATTTTAGGTCAATTTTGGTTGTAATTGCTGAGCCTGTTGTTTTAGTTAGATTTTGTGGCACTTTACGCCCTGTAGTCTACTTTGTGAGCGTATAAGGTTGTAAATCTTATTATGGTTGTGTATACTTTTTCTATGATTTTACTTCTTCAGGGCTGTGTACCTGCTCAAGGTTCTTGTAATCTTTATTATTATTTGGTCGACATCTAATAACAGAATAAAGACAAAAGCAGAACTGGAGGAGAGGATAATACTGAAGTTCCGTTTACAAAATAATGTTATTCTTGTTCCTCTTTTTCCATGTAGATAGTAAACTGGAGAACTCATCTAAAGTTTCCTGAAGAAGCAAAGTTATCACCAGAAGCAAAGGATCTTATTAGTAAACTCTTGTGCAATGTCAATCAGAGATTAGGATCAAGAGGTGCAGATGAAATAAAGGTGTTGTATGGTGTGTTCTATTCTAAATTCTTGAATTTGTTTCATAAGCTAATTGCAGATGAAAGGAATTACCTTGCGATCTTCCTTTGCAGATTCACCCTTGGTTTGATGGTACTGACTGGGATAATATATACCAAATGGAAGCTGCATTTATTCCTGAAGTCAATGATGAATTGGATACACAAAATTTTGAAAAATTTGAAGAGGTAATGTCTTTCTGTTTTATTCTATTTTTCGGTCCTATTTGCTCATCATGCTTCTTTAATTCATTGCTTATTTTTGAGTCTGCAGTCTGAAAACCAAACTCAGTCAACATCAAAAGCTGGTCCCTGGAGGAAGGTAAGAATCAGCTATTTTGTCAATCTATGTGCTTGAATTTATTAGCATATGGTATTAGCATTTTCCATTGCATTTATTCATAGTTGCTGTAAACTGAAACTGTGTTAATCACTTGCTATTCCATCTTAGCAGAATGAGATGTTACTATTTTGGTGCAACAACTGTAAAATGGTTTTCCTGGGCGTAGTGTGTTCTTTCAACACTAGAGGGTAGTAGCTTGGGTTATTGAAGGTTGTTCATTGGGTAAATTTTTATCTCAGGCTTCTAGTAAGAATATAGGGCCACAATATAACCGATGCTAATGATCTATTAGGACTGGAATGGGTTTCTGTTCTGCTTTCTGGTCGGAAACTATTGACAGGATGAAGATAAAAGTAGCAGTTAGTATTGTTCTTTGAAATGTAATAACCATTGAATTTTGGCCAAGGATTTTGATAAAACAGTATGTCTTGAAAGATATACTGCTTCTCATCAAGCATGTTGTTGTTGCTTTAGTCTTATAAGATTTTAATAATTTTCTCTTGTTTCTTTTGCTGATATCTTTATTTACTTTTGCATTCTCACATTTTTCCTTTTAATTCTGTGCAGATGCTATCATCAAAAGACATCAATTTTGTGGGTTATACATACAAGAATTTTGAAATCGTCAATGATTATCAAGTGCCTGGGATGGGTATTCTTTTCTGCCTCTGATATTCTTAAAGCAGCAGTAGCAATAATTTGATTGATGTTACATAGGCTTGGTCCAGATGTCAAAAATTTCAGCATTCTATGAATGCTTTATTTTGTTTGTCCGTATTATATGATGGTGCCATAGCTTTATTTATTTCATGTACACAGACATCTGACAGAAGCATTTCCATGCACACACGCATACATGCACAAACACACACACATTCAGACACAAGTACGGATGCATCCACCTGCTGAGCACCTTTATTTACATCTCGTGTTACAAGGACAATTTTGCTTTGGAACTACTTTATTATCCGTGCTTTTCAAAATATAGTTGTAATTAGTTAATTAGGTACTGCACATGTTTTCAAGATGTTGAAAGACATGACTAGCCTTCAACTTGAAGACTTAATGTTAGAATTTCTTGTAGAGTTACGACCTGGAAAAGTTGGACTTCGAAATTCTGGAATAATCTGCCTGGTGATGAGTTTGTACTCATTCTTAGTACCAGGACATTGTTTGTTTCTGAAACAATCATCTTCTCAACTTCAACTAGTTTGTAACATACTGAAAGGTAGTGTGCTGTGTCCGGTTCCAAATACCAAAGGAGGGTTATTAAGGTTGTAAAAATCTTTACTGTTTGCAGTGACTTAAACATGGTTAAACGTCGGTCATCAGGAAACAGGTTCAGATGGCTAAAATAACTGAAAAGCATCGGAAAAATCTATCATTAGGGACAGGGATTTCATCAGTATCTTTGCGTTTTATTAGAATTTTTCAGTTTGAACCTAGAACTGCCATTTGTTGGAACTATGCACCGGTTTTTACTCCTATCAGTTGCTTGTTTCATATGTGCTTTTGGTGTGACATTTTTGCCCATTTTGGAGTGTTTAATTTCAGCTTCCTGCTATCATGCAGCTGAGTTAAAGAAGAAAAGCACCAAACCAAGCAGGCCATCCGTCAAGTCACTTTTTGGTAGGTCTTCCTTACTCTCCCTTTAATAATTTTTTAAGACAGATAATTCTTGAACACTTTCAATGTGGACAATGTTTCATATACCTGCATGGTATTGATCTCAGATGATTTCCATAACCTCTATGAATTTATTTATGGCAGAGGGTGGATCAGGATCGGAAACAGAAGAGCATGCTGCTTCTAGTCAACCTGTTCAAGGGAGTTTTTTAAACCTCTTGCCTCCCCAGTTAGAGATATCCCAGAAGCAGAAAGGGTCCATCTAACTTGACCCCAGTCTCTTAATAGTTCCGGCTTATAGTCCATGCTGTAAAGTGAGATTTGGGTGCCAACTTCTCATTCTTAAAGCTCCCCTCTGTATTTCAGAGGCTGGGTCATGGAAGAGTTCAGGGCCTCATTACAAGCTCGAGATGGGTGGAATCAACTAATCATGTGTATATGAGAATTTGGCATGTTCTTTTTTCCTCCATAGAAGACTCAAACAAACGATTGACACAGAAGCCAATGGAAAGTGAATAGTAATTCATTTTTTGATTGATTGATATATTATGTAATTTATATATACATATATAATATATTTATATTTTCTTACAGTTTTCCAAAACAGCTGTTGTACAAAGACACCATTTTAACTCATTCATTGTATTCTATTGATCAATAGTAGTATACAATAATAGTGTCAAATCTTTGTTGTATTTCAAGAGGTTTTTCATTATTG